TTGTGCTCCCTGTTCCAACGGCCAGTAGGATGTGGTTGGTTTTCCATGAGCAGGAAGCTTGAATCACCCCTGGATCACTTGCCTCCTTGGAAGGAGAAGAAACTGTTCTTGTGCGTGTGTGTGTGTGTCAGAGGGAGAGACAGAGAGAGACAAAGAGAGAAAGAGAGCAGGCAGGAGCGCTAACCCATGTGCAGCGCTGACCTTGGGGCTAGCGTCCTATTGTGATCTTGCCCTTCCTGAACCACCTCTTTACTCCTCTCCCTCAACTCAAGTCCCTTCCCTTCTCTGGCCCAGCTTACCAGGCAGGCCCCACTAGATCAGCTCCAGGAAGCCCTCCAGGTCTGAACAGCTGTTCCTTGTTTATCTGTTTCTCTTGTGTGTTGGGTGTTTTCCACGGGGCATGTCGCCCAATTTCCCATCCCACTATGAGCAGCTGGTCCTTCCTTTTCGCCTCAGCCTTTCCTTTTCTCTCAGCCTCACCTACCAGATCCTAAGCGAACTCTAGCGTTCTGGTGATCGCCAGATGGAAGGAACAGCAGATGGAAACAAGTGTACATTGAACGTGCTTGATAGGGGCCAGGTACTAAGGAGAACGCTCTACCCGAAATTATCTCAGTTTTCCAAAAGTCCTGTGAGGTTACGAGTGAGGAAACTGAGGCCCAAAGTGGCCAGCCCCAGGGTGGCACAGCCAGGAAGAGCCAGAGGCTGGATTCGAACCCTGATCTGCCCCACAACACTAGTTCGGGAATGGAACCGGCCCCGACAAGGCCCCTTCTGCAGCTGCATGGCCTTCCTCCCGTAATGCTGGATCCACACTCTAAGGGCTTAGAGAAAAACTGAAGGGCAGAGAAATGAATGGGTCTGGAGCCAATTCCTAAAAATGTACTCCCAGGACCAAGACCGAATTCTGCGATGATCTAAACACACAGGAGAATGTACTATTTCCACAGTGTTGATCCTTAAATTATCACCTCCCGCAATAGCGGGGACCAGCTATCATCCTGGATCTGCTCCGTTCTCCCTGCCTCACCGTGCTCGCCCTCCACTGCCTCCACAAACTCACCTCCGTAGTATGAGGTGAACGGCCCATACCGTGAGGCGGTCCTCCATGACACCCCACACTGCTCTCGCGAGGACAAGCAAGCCTGAGCCTGGTCTCCCCACCCTGACTCAAGTTGACGAAAGGGCCCCATTTTAGATTCATATCCTCCTTGGGAGGCAAGCTAACCTGAGTTTACGAAGATCTGTCTTGTCCTAACTGGGAGACTCCGGGCAATCTCCAACCTCTCCAAGTTCACCCTTCTGTCTAAAGGACTCAAAGAACCTACCCTGGGTTAGAGTACATTAGGGTACATTCAATGAACTGTCAGAATCACACAAATTCACACATGTTAAGCGTGTGGCACCACCAACTGTAGTAACTACTAACACTGGCTATTATTTACATTCCCTAAAGAGTCCTGTAGAGGGGAAAAAAAAAAAAAAGAGTCCTGTAGAGGATCAGAACATTCATGACTGATACTTGTCTGAAATAATCAGGAAAGGAAACCACTCTAAAAGCACAATGCCTCCCAAATCAAAACAAACCATCTGTTTGTTCTAGAGAAACAAACTTCTCTCCACCACCAAAGGACTCGACATATGCCTACACACACATGTGAGTGACACGCATGTGAGTGCAAAGAATTATGGTAAACCTGCACTAGTAGCCTTATGGAAGACTTTGAAACGGAAGTTATCTGCAGGTTGCATCCAGCATATCAGGACCATTTGAGAGACAAGTAGCCTGAGGCCAAAGCCATTTTACCTAAGGTCTTCCCAGCCAGGCACAGCTCGTAAAAGCTAAGCGAGGAACCCAACTCCAGGCCAGGAAGCCTGGCCTAAGCAGCAGGTGCCCACTTTCCCCAAACCCCATCCAAGCAGGGGCTTGGCAGAGAGGAAGGAAGCAAGGGCTGACAGCACCATCCAAATGATAGAAGTCACTTGCCCGTCTTTCATAAACAGACCCTTGGTGTTCAGGCAGCTCCCCTCGTCCTGGAGACAAGCACATCCTTTGCTGGATGTCCTGAGAAAAACTTCTCAGTGTGTTCCCAGTGTTCTGGAGCCAGCAGAGCCCCTCCTGCTTGGGCCCCAGGCCTCCCATCAGCCAGCTCTAGCTAACGTGCACATCCCATAAAACCTCTCTGCTCTGCAATTTGCCAAACCACAGACTAAGAATTCACCGTCAGTGGAGGAGAGGAGGGAAGGGGGCATGCTTCTCCAGCACAGAGGGCTTCCAGAACATCTGTGACTTGGGTGCACCAGAGTACCTTACCCAGAACACTTGACCTTCTGGTGTGTGGTGTCCATTGTGCAAGGGCCAAGAGAGGCGGAGATCCTAAGCTTCAGAGGCACAAGCTCCCCCAACCTGCTCCTCCTGCCCCTCTGAGCCCTGCTGACACTTTCTATTATGGGGCCCCCTCTCCTTATATTATGTCCCATTGATGCCCCAAATATGTAGGAACCTCTGATGATCACCAGATATCCACCAGATCACCTAGTCAACTCCAACCAGACTTAGGGTACTTGGATGAACAAAACCCACACCATGGGCAAAATGCCAGGCAAACCCAGGTGCTATTAAGAGCTGTGTTGCAAGTGACTTTACCCCTGCTGGTTTTCAGTTTCCCCATCTGTAAAATGAGGGGTTGAGCCTGAGGAGTCCTGCCAGCTCCACAATTCCACAACATGTAACACTTTCTCCTTTAATTGTTTTCCACAACTTTAGTTTAGAGCTCTGTCTGGCCCCAGCTGTTCAGTGACATCACTCCCTGCCCCAAACATAATGTCGATTCTTACATGGGAAGCAGAGATGTCCTGGGAAACACTGTCCACAAAAAGGGAGGAAATGATCATTTCAAGGGAATTAGACAGGACTTCTTTTGTGTTTCTCACATAGAACAAGTTATTATCAATCTTAAAACCCAAAATCTTTCTTTCTTTTTTGCCAGACCATTAATAGCTGCTTTTCAAAAGTGCTTTCTTAGTCAGAATCTCACCAACAATAAACTACCATTTAGTAAGTGCTTGTTATATGCCAGGAACTGTGCTAAGTGCTTTTCATGGATGATCTCATTTAATTCTCCAGACAACCCTATGACATAGGTACTATTATCATCCTCACTTTAAAAATGAGGAACCCTGAATCCCTCAGAGGTTAAATAACCCGCCCAAAGTCACAAAGCTAGTTAGTGGCTGATCCAGGCTTTGAACAAGACCCTCTGCCTCAGAGCCCCACAGCTAACCACCTTTCAGTACTGTCTGTGGTGGGTTCCCAGTTGCTTTAGCAACATTTCTGGCTTGTTGCCAGCGTACCCTACCTTGTAATCTCAGGCATCACTGGTCAGAGCTAAGATGTGAAGTTTCACCTAAAATCAAGAGCAGGGAGAAAGCAGCTGCCTGGGTCCCAGAGCAGAGAGTGCCATCTGTTGAACGTAGGGCCAGGCTTAACTGAGAACTAGAAAACAGAACCCCGAAAACTTAGCTTGTGACATTTGAGAAAAACGGTTAGGAAGGCCGACTTGATACTAAGTGCGGGGATGTGCAAAGGCACATCTGTACCTGGAGTAGGGTGACCATACAATGCCCCAAGTCCTCCAAAAGGAGCTTTCTTGAAATGGCAGCTTTCTTGAATTGAAGATGCTTGCTTGCTGAGCCAGATAACACAAAAGGAACAACTCTCCCATGGGCACCCACCTCTCTGTCTGGTCCAGGAACCAGACTCCTTAGCTTACCTCCTCTCCAATCTGAGCCCAGGCCCATTTACTCCACTCCAAAAAAACAAAGCAAACAAAACAAAAAACAAACCCAAAGTTCAGAGCTACTGGTGATAAAGACAGAAAGAGTAGCCTGAGGCTGACATTGGCACAAACCCCAGTCCTCTTCAAACAGGGAAATGAAAGGCATTTCTCAGAGATCAATGTGCAGCCTAGGGCAGCAACCTACAAGCTGTTTTGTTTAAATTAATGCTTTGAGCATTCTAAATACTCCTTTAAGTGCCTAATTTGCAAATAAGATGCAGTCCTTCTGCTTTGGGTGCCCGGCTGGCTCTTCTATCTCAAGTACAGGAGCAAAGCGGTTCAGACAGGCGTCCTCAGCCATTAAGGACACCATGTTTACTTCCTAAGGTGCGAAGGATGGGAAGACAGGACCGGCTGAGATGAAAGGGGGACGAGGCACACAGACCCCGGAGCTCAGCTCAATCAACCTTAGCCCCTTCTCATTAATTGTGGGGAAGGAAGGGGGAGGGGCAGCCGGCCGTTCCTTGGAGACCACAGCAAACATTTGCCTCCTCGTGTCTGGAGACGGAGCATCACTTAAGAGGAAATGAACCCGGTTAAGGGTCACGTCCAGAGAAGGGATAAAAGGAAAAGCCACAATTCTCCTCACACCGACGGACACAATGACTTTAACAAGGAAACCAAAGCTCGGGGCTGAGGGTGGAGGTGGGGCAGGGGGCGCGGCGGCTTCGGCCCGCAGACCCAGGCCTAGGGAGGCAGAGCCCAGGGCAAACGTGGGAGCACAGCGCGAGGCTTCCTTCCCCTGGGCGAGCCTCTGAAAGCATCGCGGTCCGTGTCAGCTTGAGCGACTCAAGCCCCCAGGGAGGGCCAGGGAGATGCTCTTTCCCAACGGAGCTTCTCAGCGAGGGTTTGACGAAAGCTCCCCCCACCATCCATCAAAGCTCGGGCGGACAGATGACTTCACCGTTGTAACAGACAAGGGCAGCCACTTGCCAATTCCAATGCCAAAAAAAGAAAACGGGGGGCGGGGGGAGTGGAGAAAGGACAGAGAAGGCTTCCCTGGAGATCACAGCCCTGCGAAGGAACTCCACAGCCAAGGGCTGCCCTGTGGGCACTCAGCTCCGGGACTTAGCGGGTGGGGCAAGGGCCCTCCGGGGGGGGGTGTCCTCCGGGGGGGTCTCTGGCCAACCCCCCGCAGGGTTCGGTAGGGTCAGTACTCACGTAGTGCTTGGAGGGGTTCCTCCGCTTCTCCACGTCCACCACCGTGGCATCTTGCACGCAGTAGGCCAGCATCTTCCCCCCCCCACAAAGCGAGTGGCGCCCTCCAGCGGCGTCACCTTCTCATCCCGGTCGGGCTCCCGCTTCTTGTCCCGCTTCCCGGGTCCCGGGGCCACCCGCCACTCCGGCCCGGCGCGCCGCTGCCCGGGGTCCCGGCGCTCACAGGTACGGCCCCGGGGCGGGGACGGTCCGGGAGGGTACGCGGGCTCCGTGCGCCCCGGGCGGCTCCCAGTGGGCCTGCCGCGCGCCCCTTCCCTCCCGCGCCGCCGCTGCCGCCGCCGCCGCCGCCGCTCTCCGCCTCGCCCGCCCGCTCTCTCCGCCGTCCGCCGCCCCGTGGGTCCGGCGGGAACTGGCGGAGCGGAGGAGGGGCGGGGGTGTGTCCCGCCGGCGAGGGGACGGGGCGGGGGCCCCGGAGCCTGCTGTCAGCGAGCTGGGGAAGGGCTGGCGGCGCCCCTTCACCGCGCTCCGGCTCCGGGGGGCTCGGCGCTGGCGGAGGCTGTGGGCGCAGGAGGCGGAGGCAGGGCCCGGCCGGCAGGGAAGGGAAGGGAGGGGAGGGGAGAGAGGGGAAGAGCGCGGGGAGGGGCTCCAGGCCCGGGGGAGGGGCTCGGGGCGGCGGGGAGGGGGCTGCAGCCCTGCCGGGGAGGCCAGGGTGCGCCGGCGCGCCCCCACCCAGCGCAGAGCGCAGCCCGCGGCCTGGCAGGGCGCAGGGCTACTTCGCCCAGCACAGAAACTCGAGGTGGCTTCGGAGGGAGGAGGGGCGGGGGGAAGTGAACCCAGCGCGCCCCCGTCCTGGCTTTCCGTCTTGGAGCGGATTTGTGCCTTTTTGTCCCCACCTTTACGTCCCCCTCCCACTCATATCCCCCGATCCTTGTAATGAAAAGTAGTTTATTACCCCGCTGTTACTGCCCAGGCTCCCCGAGGAGGAGACGGGAATGGGGAAAGGGCCGGCATTAAATCCTTCAAACCAGAGCCTCTTTTGATAAACCACCTGCCCCCCTGCGGGTCACAAAGGGTGAATTCTCCCCGGAAATGTGATCGATCCACTGTCTGCCTGACTCGTCCATCCATCTGGGCCCGTGTAACTAACCTGTGACATCATTTACCAGTGAGGTTACAAGACGCTGCATAACACCACCGCCTTAAGCCTGGGACTCCCCTGACACCCTCCCCTGGTGGGGGAAGAGGGAAGGGACCACCCAATGGTGGGAAAATCCACTAGATTGGCGCCCCCACCCTACACCCCTGTTCATCATTGGCCCCAGGCTCTGGATTTCTCACCACTTCTCCCTCTGGTCTGGAAAACTGACTTGTGGCCACTTGTCCATCCAGGGACTTGGAACACAATTACTATCTAATTGAATTTACACCCCCTCCCGGTCTATTTCATCTATTCTTTTTCATTCTAGTTTCAAATATTTAAAGAGGTAGTGTTTTCACAATTAATTCTATTGTTTCACAAACACAATAAAGCTTTGTGACCATGGACCAATGTGAAACATCTGAAATGGGGACAAAGAGTTTTATGACCTTATTGTATTAACAGTTTCTTCCCTGCACTGTCAGAACCCATGTACCAATCTAAGATTATTCACACATCTGCTCGGTACAGAGTACCCCACTATTCATCCTTCTTGATAAAGGATGCTAGAACACCAAGGGACGTCACTATCTAAATATTTGACCTTGAGCAAATCATTTAATTTAATGCCACAGGTATTAGAGTCACCTTAAGGTTCTCATTTGTCAAATGTGGGTCCTGAACTAAATGGTCTTTTAAGATTCCTTCCTCCATATACTTCAAACTCTGAGCAATAGTAACTCCTCGGGGCATAGTTTTGAGTTCTTTGTTTTTCATAATTACCTGGTATGGATTTTGACATTTCAAAAATAAATAATGCATCGACTAAGCACCTCTTCTGTGCTAGTTCATAAGACATTAAGAGACAGAAGAGAGAGTGAGAGAATTCAATTAATGTTTGTGGAACTGAAAACTGAATCCAATTGACAAATGCTTATCCCGTCCCTCAGAGCGGGGAATCCAGTTGAGAAACAGGGATATTATTAAGTCAGTATCTAATAAAATGTGCATTAGGACTCCAGAAAACGGAGGCTCGGAGCAGTCAAGGGGAGCTTCATGGAGGAGGCTGTCCCTGTGCTGGGCCCTGGAGGATGCACAGCTTGAAACACCTTGGAATACTCCGCCTCCTCGGAACTCTTCTGGGCCAGCAGCCCTTGCCCTGAGCTGTCCTGACATGTGTGTATTTGTCCATAACAGACTTCATTTCCTCTGAAAGCACCTCATGACTAGGGACTAGCTGTGAGCTATCTTATCCTCCTTGGCACTCTTCAGAGAGCCAAGCATGGTGCCTTGTCGTCGCTGTATGAGAATCTGTTGAGCAAACGATCAGGGGGAGAAAGAAAAGATGGAGTGAGGAGAAGTAACATGTGTAACCTGAAGCCCAAACCAGCTAGAGGCCAGCAGAGGAAGAGGGCAGTGTCTACCACGTGGAAGGGTGAAGGAAGGGGGCAAGGCACAGGAGAAGGAAATCGAGAGAGGAGTGAGTGTGGGATGTCCAGGCAGTGAGTGATCTTGACATTAGGCCCAGGGCTTCTCTAGGAGAGACGCTGGAAACCTTGGTGGATGCTGGGGCAAGCATCCTGGGAGAAGGTGATCTGGCAGTGATGCTCAGTGATGGGAAGGAGAGGAGAAAAGGGGTCACTTGCTCTGAGCAACACTTGTTCCCCATGGGGGTGGGAGGTACATGGGTGATAGGCCCTCAGCACTGAGCTCCCCTCAAGGGGGGGGCTGGTAGCTAGGAATCTGGGAGGGCCTGTGATGATGAATCAAGACAGACTGTGGGTTCACTGTAGAAGAATTCATAATGGCACCCAGCCACTCTTCCTCTGTGGACCTCGAGGCATTCTGGAAGTGCTAAGTAAGTCTGAGAAGCCCCTGGTGAGGAGAGCTGGTGTTCAGCTGTTGGAGGGAAAGTAGAGGAGAGGGGTTGGCTGGCCCTAGGTCTCCTTTTGAGTCAGAGTAGTGGGCTCACCTAAAAGGCACCAGTGGCTTCCCATTTGCGTTCCTTCTTCTAGACTAGGATCCACACTGAACATGACTCTAACTAAGCACAAGGAGGACAGACCTAAGGCTCCATGCTCCTCCACTGTTCTAGTGACTCAGTGCTGGCCTACAAGGCATTGGTTTTTCCCAGCCTGAGACGCCAGACAATCTGACATCTCTTAAATTCAGGTCTTATTTATTTATTTATTTATTTTTTGGTGGGCAGCAAAGCAAAGCTTATTGAGTGGTAGTAAAGTTTATTGAGTGATAGTACAAAGCTCCTGAAGAGGGAGGGGACCCGAGAGGGTTGCCTGAAATTCACGGTCTTGACACACAACTTGAGTACTGCCAGCTTCCCTCTGTGCTCCCGAATTACCTCAGTTAAAGGGAGTGACTGAGTGGCAGCACCCACCCCAACTCCATGGTGCCAAAGTCTTTGGGCATTATTAGTTGGGCAGAAGTAATTTAGATCTGGGGGGGGCGCGGGGGGGATCTCTTCCCTCCTGGAGCCGTATGTTCAAGAGGCTGTGGGTGTAAAATGGTACAGTTCTCCCTTCTTGCTAGGGTCATTTCAACCTCACACAGATCTCTCTCTTGAGAGCGCTTTAGGCATTTCTTTCTGTGCAGCACACTTTTCCTGAGTGCCTGGCACTCCCCAGAAATGACTGAGACCGGGACGCCTGGGTGGCTCAGGTGGTTAAGCGACTGCCTTCGGCTCAGGTCATGATCCTGGAGTCCCGGGATCGAGTCCCGCATCGGGCTCCCTGCTCAGCGGGGAGTCTGCTTCTCCCTCTGCCCTCCCCCCCTCATGCTCTCTCTCTCTCTCTATCTCATTCTCTCTCTCAAATAAATAAATAAATAAAACTTAAAAAAAAAAAAAAGAAATGACTGAGACCGGCCAAAGGCCCCCCGGAGAGGGGACTGTGTCTCCCCTTTTCAACACCCCAGCGTGCCTGGCACACAGTAGGTACATTGGTTGGTCTGTGTTGAAAACATCTGCTCAAGGAGCTAGTGCTGGAGAAGAGTAGGTAAACCCCTATTTTGCATCTACGAACTGGGGATGACTTCAATCCAAGGACATCATGTGCGTTCAAATGATACAATATAATCATAAACATAAATAAAATAAAAGTTAAAGTTTAGGATAAATAAGGGAAAGAAGACTCGAAAGATGCAACCTGACAGACAGCTGAAAATCTGATTTTTCAAGAACAGATCATCTAAGATGCTTAGAACAAAGAATCTTCCAACTGGAAGGGATCCAAGTAGTTATTTATTCCTCTAAGTTTACAGAGGAGCAAGCTGAGACAGAGAGAAGGCTAAGCAAGTCGTCCGATGCCATAGGGCCAGGTAGTCCCAGCCCAGTAGTCTTTCTCTCCCCAGCCCACCCTGCATGCTTAGGAGCCTATTCACAGGCAAGAAGAGTTCATTGAAAGAGCACACACTCAGTGCACTGACGAACATCTGCAGATCCAGACTGTTGCTCCCCCTTAAACCCCAAGTCCCTCATTCCAATTCTCCATTCACACAAGCATCACATGGCTGCCTGGACCCCCCAGCAAGGCAGGACATCTCTCAAGGGCAGGGACCCTGAGTGTCTCCCTGGAAATCCCCTCAGCTCCCTGTACACAGAGCCCACCCTGCTTCCTTTCCCATGTAGTCTTCATGACCGCCTCGAAGAAGCCAAACACAGGAAAGCCCTGAAAACAGTTAAATGCTAAACCGAGGCACAGTACCACTCTCTCTCCTTTTCAGAAAGTTTATGGCAATGGCTAACCACTCGTTTGGCTACTAATCATACATTGCCCTGTGACAGCCAACTGCTACTGTATCAACATCTTTTTATTGCTCTTTAACTTAGTGGTGCTTAGGTGGTGCCATCTAAACCAGTCAGAAACCTGGGAAGGTCTGGAGGACCGTGAACACAGACTCTGGCACCACCCTTTTCCTCCCGGCCC